CCGTTCATTAACTACATTCAGTCTTACAGTTAACAACTACGTTGACGATATGGGAGACTGGGCCAGAGATGTGGGTTATGGCTTGGCGTGCAGCAGTTCATTAACTACATTCAGCCTTACAGTTAACAACCACGTTGACGATAGGGGAGGCTGGGCCAGTGGTGTGGGTAATGGCTTGGCGAAGAGCAGATCATTAACTACATTCAGTCTTACAGTTAACAACTACGTTGACGATATGGGACGCTGGGCCAGTGGTGTGAGGAATAGCTTTGCGGAGAGCAGTTCATTAACTACATTCAGTTTTACAGTTAACAACCACGTTGACGATAGGGGAGGCTGGGCCAGTGGTGTGGGTAATGGCTTAGCGAAGAGCAGTTCATTAACTACATTCAGTCTTACAGTTAACAACCACGTTGACGATATGGGACGCTGGGCCAGTGGTGTGAGGAATAGCTTTGCGGAGAGCAGTTCATTAACTACATTCAGTCTTACAGTTAACAACCACGTTGACAAGACGGGAGGCTGGGCCATAGATGTGGGTAATATCTTGGCGAGCAGCAGTTCATTAACTACATTCAGTCTTACAGTTAACGATCACGCTGACGAGATGGGACACTGGGCCACGCATGTGGGTAATGGCTTGGCGAACAGCAGTTCATTAACTACATTCATCCTTACAGTTATAAATCACCGGGGAGAATTGGGATGCTGGGCGAACAATTTAAGCAAGGAATTGACCAAGAACCGTTTCTTAACAACAATAAGAGTAGCATTCAACTTGTGCGGTGAGAAGAGAATTCGCTAGACATGTAACCAGTCTTCATCCTTTGTATAGGACAAGGACACAGTATAGAACACAAAACCATTTGTTGTGAGACACTGTTCGGTTACTAAAATATTTTTGGTAGAAGCAAGAATCCGCACGGTTAACGTCCTTCTCATATTTTTTTTTCTTTTTTTTTTTGTCAGTGTTTTTATGTGAAATGTATTTGCTCGTACATGTGTAAGGTCACTTTTTAGTTGGTTTTGAAACTTAATCTGCGCTTGTTGGTGCTAGTCTTACTCCTCGCATAGTCTGTGCCACTTTGCCAAATTTTTCCTTAAAACCTTTAGGTAATCTATAGCTGAAAACTATTTATTTATTTCAGTAAAAAAGATATGAGGACATTTTTTGGTAAACATTGATTAGAGACACTCGCCTCCCGACCCGAGCAGCACGTATCATTATTATTGGGTTGAAACGAACTCAGATAACTGATGCGTTGAAAATACCAGGATGCCTACACAAGGAGAGCAAAGAAATGAAACCGAAGCTGCTGAACATTGCGATTCTTTTACGCCACTGATACAGTTTCAGTGATCTCTTATTTACTGTTGTGAATGGATGTGATGTTTCAAATTTTCCCTGAACTCTCCTCATTTTTTTTGTTTTTGTTTTTTTTTCGTGATCTTAAGAATTGTTTATCTCGCTTACTTCATGCACGTCTCAATAATAGCAACAGATTTGAAATCTGGTACCATAAAAATAAAAATTCCCTAGGTATTAATCCAAATGGTGATGACTGGAAATTTTAACTCAATAAAAACTCATATTATGTCGGAAAAGACACTTGAATTGCGCAAATTACTGAGTTGAAGAGCCAAGTTAACCGCAGCAGGAAACAGCAAAACGAACTGTGATACCCAAAACCCTGTAGAAAAGCCCTCTTGTTCCCCGCTTATACAAATATTTTGGCTTAAGCACACTTAAAAGCTGAAAGCAAACGGTTTGGAATTATTTTCCGTTCTCGATTACCGTAAACGTCGTGATTAACCTCGTTATCAATAGGCGTGTTTATTTCTGGAGATAAGGGAGCCCTGAAACATTATTAACGTTGGTCTTTTTTTTTCTCTGAATTTAAAGAACGTCTGACGCGGCAAAAAATTGAAAAACAATTAGCAAATTAAGGGTGTTCCTCTTCGTTGGTTTTGCATGAGAGCGACATAGAAGAAAGAAAAGATTGGAAACGGAAAATTGTAGTGACAAGAAAACGTAATGAACCTTTTGACTTGTAAGAGTGATAAGCCTCTTATTTCTCCTTACAGTATCACCCTTGAATCAAGGATAAATGTCAGGAGAATAATGGAAATGATCAGCAATTTAAGAGGCTCCTGATTGTCAAACAAATTCTCCTTTTCAATGCTATGGGAAATGTAAAGAGACCACTGTGAAAATTTGGAAAACTACATTAATGTTCGGGTGTAAAGGGCAACAAGGTGGAGTCAGATTCATTACTCCTAAGTGTATTCC